CTCTTGGAGTTTTAAAAAGTACATTAAAATTGATGTTGTAACATTTTTAAGTGACAGTAAGGCCAGTCATTTTTTGGTCCCACATGCAACAACAAATGACAGAATCATACAATAATTTCCACCAGAAGGGACCATCTCATTTTTTGCTTGCCTAATTCCCCACTCAAAGCAGGGTGAGCTGAATAAAACTTGACTGGGCAATGCCATGAGCAGCCAGGTTTAACTATCTCCAAGCACAAATTTCACAGCCCCTTTCGGAATTTTGTTCAAGTGTTTAACCACTTTTACGGTGAAATTTTTTTCTCCTTGTATACAATCGCAATCTCCTGTGTTGCAACTCGTATTGGTTACTTCTCACTCAATCACTGTGGGTCTCTGAGAAGAGCCTGGCTCTGTCCTCTATACCCTCCCATTAGTTAGCTGAAGACAAGATCTCCCCTTAGCCTTCCCTTCCTCAGGCCAAACAAACCCAGTTCTTTCAGCTTCCTTCAGTACATCATGAGATTAATTACTACTGTTCTGCATGCTGAATTTGGTCTGTATTACTTCTGAAGTATGAGCTCTGGCCTCTGCTTCCTATTTAATTACAAAATGGATTTTTTTTTTTTTTTTTTTTTAAGCTCAGAAACAATTCCTGCAAAGCAAGAGCCTTCATGATTTTTAGCAAGTATGGTTAGACAGAAGTTATCTTCAGGTCAGTTATTTTTCAAGAAGAAACACATGCTGGGTTCTTTCCAAAATGAAAGTGCTGAGCTTTTCTCCTTTAAGAAATAAATGGCATACTTCAGGTTTAAATGCAATATGCAGCTCACTTAAAAACTGTTTCCTATGTTTACACATTGTCAAAAGGGACTTGACCTTTCATAGCCAAGTATGAAAATATAAAGTGGAAATGCACCTTGCAATAGCTAGACAGCACTTTGTTGCTTTAAGAACCTGACAGTAGTTCGTGGTGATCAGGTAACCTTTCAGCTCCAGATCAGAGGTGGCCCAAGCTCAGGGAAAACACCACCAAGAGGTGCTTGATGCTATGTTAGTACCTAACCCAACCCAACTCCTTCCCACACAACTTTCAGTATGTCTTGCAAAACATCTTGAAAATCGTTTTTGAAAAGCATGAACAGACATTACCAATCCCAGCCAGTCAACAACTAAAGCCACTAAAGTCACTTCTATATTCTGCTAATTCTACCACTGCAAATCAGAGCATTGTTTTACCTATATTTTTTTTTCAAACACCTGTCTTGAGTTCATAAAAACACTGGCATTCGGGCTACTTCTATGTTACTGATAAAACAGTCTTAAGACATTTTTTCTTACCAGCACTGAACTGCATTCCTAATGAAAAATGTGTGCCCCCGCAATGAATAAACATTTATAATCTGCCCACAGAATGAATTATGATTATTTTCCACCTGCAACTGCATTCTGTACTACAGCTACAGTTTTCAGCAAGACAACTCACAACAGTAAATATGAACTGGGAACTGAAGTCTAGTGACAAATGTTTACTGTTTGTCCTAATCCATGCTGCTTTTACAGCTGCTTTCTTTGCTTGAAGTGCTGAGACAGAAATCAAAAGGTCCCGATTCCTTCCCGCAGGCCTCATCTCATTTATGTGGATCCTCCTGTCAGGGCCTTGAGTGCACTTCCATCACCCTAGGGGCTTAGCTGCCAGAAGGGCTCCATAAGGAGAAAGACGCATGTTGGAAACACCATCCAGCTCTGCTTCTCTCCTTGTTGCAAAAATCTTAAATTCATAATACCCGATAACCCTCTTCTCTGTGCTGTCCTAATGGCATCTTCATAGCTAGCGACCTGTCTACCCATGAAGATCCTAAAGGAGTCCCATGGCCAGTTGCTTTGGCTACACCATTTGTTTCACAGCCAGCTACAAGCGCAAGTCTCTATCCAGGATCACAAACCACAGTAGTTATTCCATGACCATAACGGCTGCTCAAACTGAAACTGTAATTTTCTTGGAAGCTCTGGATCGTTTCAATACGAGGTAAATTTTCAGTTCATCATGATAACCAGCGACAAGCAGCTCAGCTGACCATTACACACTATCTTTGTACTCCAGAAAGATCAATGCAGCAGTAGCAGAACTTGAATCTCCTGGAAAGCCTGTTGCAGGTGGAATGACCAAGGGCTCACTACCCCAGCAGGCCAAACACTCTCACTGAGCCAGTGCTTTCACCACAAGCAAATGACATTCAGTAACGGCTCCTCGCCACTTGCGTTCAGTGTGGATTAGGCTCTTCCGGTGCTTGGTATTTTCTAACAACAGGTCCAAAGTCATCTTCTGCAGACCTGATTTCTACACATTGGTCTTGAACAACTGCCAACAGCGTATGGTTGTGACAAAGGGCATGTCTCTCAGTACCTGACTAAATAAAGGAGAGCAGGTGTACTGACAGTGATCAGGGCCAGCCAACAGTCCAGTGGTTGCTGAGTAAGTCCACAGTGAAGAGGCATGCCAAACCAGGTAAGTCAACGCATCAGGATCCAGATCAGCAAGGTATGTAGCTGGACAACCACATAACTGCAACCTAGCTGAGGCAATGACCAAGCCTGAGCTTACAGACAACTCCTGAGTGAAAGGGGAACCCTGACAAGACTTCTCACAGCTCTTTCCACAGCAGTCTGACTCAAGATTACATGGCTACACCACATGATGAAGGCCAAATATGGTAGCTCCAATACAAGGATAAAATAAAATACACCACCTCAAAATTTTAGTTTAAATATTATATGAAATTGGTGATAAAGCAGTATCTTCTCTATTACAACAAACTAGATCTACTAGAAACAATTGAGGGGCTTGTGCCCCCCCCCCCTTTGACATTGAAGTTTTAGCTCTTACAGCTACAAAGAGGAGTGCTTCCACTAGAAATTTAATCCTATACTGCAACAGATGATGTAAAAGGACAACTGTAAACTGCAACAGATGATGTAAAAGGACAACTGTAAAAGTACCATGGATTGGGACAAACAGTAAACATTTGTCATTAGGCTTCAGAATTACCAGTTCATTTTAACTGCTATTAATTTTGTATGTATTGTTCTGATGGGCTTCATTTTGGAGGCACATCAGTACTGGTAACATCAGAGCAGCTAGTGAGATGAGGTACACACCAAAAACCAAAGCAACGCCTGTACACATATATGCATGGAAGACATGCTTTTCTCCTCCCAGCATCAAGAAACTCCTCTGGGCTATAATACCAGAGACCCATCTAATTTTCTACCACCTGAAAAATGCAAAACAATCTCTCAGCTATTCCTTATAATTCCAGTCATCACCCATTAAAAACCAAAACAAACAAACAAAAACCCCAAAACCAACCCCCCAAACCACAAACCCCCTTAACCTCTACTTTACTACTGTATTATTCAGTGCACGAAAAATTGAGGTCTTAGGAAAGTAAATTTCAGAACAGTTTCTCAGAATTTGTTGTTTCCAGAATTATGTATTTGATTGGAACAACAACAGGGATAATAAATTCACTGACAAGGACCCTGTTATCATATTGAGACAAAGGATTATTAAGGTTCATCATTAGAACATTTCATCATTCCGACTCCAACCTTGGTCTGTTTCCCTAACTTGCACCTTTAAAAGATGGTGCTTCTCCCCTTCCAAAAGGCAGCATCCATCCGAGAATTAAGGTGATCTGTGCAGAGTGAAAAGCGAAGGCCTGTCTACAGGTCATACAGTTGCATTTATATTCCCTTGACAACGAGCACAGTCCCTATTCTAACTCAAGGGAGTTTTATTGCATTTTGTGCCCAACCCCCCCCCCCCCCGGACCAAAATTAGAGTCTTCTAGAATGCATCCAGTCCCACTTCAGACAGAAGGATATGGCTCTTTTAAAAGGTAAAGAGAAATCATGATTTCTTAATACACAAAGACCAGTGCTACTACTTAAAAGGAACCAGCTTCTGAACAGTTGGGTTTTTTTAAACTTTAAAGGCAAAATTTTTTTCAGTGTATGGAATACTACTGAAAAAATACTTTTTTTTCAGTACTAACATCAAGCCTACACCACTGAAAGCTGAGAAGCAAAGGTAATTGGGAACGGTATCAGCTGTGTTTCTTGCATACGAATGCCATTGTTCAAGGTGGGCTGATCCCAGCTAATACATGTTCTGCTTAAAAAAAGTTCTAAACCAGAACCACCTTAAGGAAGACATTAAAAAAAAGCTTTGGTTGGTTAACAGCCAGCTAAAAAAAAAAAAACCAAACCCAAAACCACAAAAAACCCCATAGCAATGCAAAATTTTACTAACTGCAAAAATACAGAACAAGAGATACACACTACTATGCAAAAGCGTCATACCAACATGTATTTTCCCAATGAATTCTATAAACCCAAAAGAACATATTCTGTGAAGAAATTTAACATTCAAAACTGCACAAAGCGATAGGCACATAAGAGCTTGCTTGTTCATCTCTTCTAGGAAATGCTTTCTGAATACATAAAGGATATTTTCATAACAAATGTCACATCTCTTCCCCTCTTTCCTCCCCAACAACGCTCCCGATTCTTTTACAAGCTGCAGAGGGTTTTAAAGGAGCTCCATCCCAACGATTCGCACAAAAAAGGCTGTGGAGCGCACCAAGCGTTTGCCCTTATTCTATAGAAACTGCAGAGCGGTAACTGGGCTCTTCCCTCCCCCCACCCAGTACCTTTCTGGGGTAGTGACTTCACATCCTTTGACATCAGCACGGCTCGAAGGGGGATGGGAGAGTTACGGCAGAAAGCAGTAAAACCTGCTTTTAACTATGCACGCAATGCCTCTACGAATTCGTCAATCTTCCCAAAAGGCATTTAACAGAACACGGGGTTCCGTCTCCCCCGCTTTTACCGCGGCTGCAGCAAACCGAGCGGCACCGGGCTACAAAGGACTTCCTGCTCGCCTCACCGAGCACCACAATAGCCATTTATTAGCTCGTCAGCGGTCGCGATTCACTCGCACACGCACAATAACTCACCTCTGATATGCAAAAGGGCCACGGGCTGGAACGGCCCATTGGAATTGGCTGCGTCAACCACCATCCTGCTGCCGGCTCTGTTACATGTCAACATCTAGGCTCCAGCGGGCAAGGCAATGTATTCCTTAAGGCAAGAAACCAGCCTCCATTTTAGTTTAAAAAAAAAGACAGAAACTGAAGCGCTCTGCAGCTGGAGGGAACTGGCTAGTTCGTGATGTCAGCGGGCGGGAGGAGCCCCATTGGCTAACGGCAGCAACTTAAAATGACACCGAGGAGGCCGCGAATGAGCGCAGG